GGGTTGCGGTGCTCATCTCTCTTTCAGGCCAGGGGAGCCAGCCTTTGTCCATAGACAGCTTTCCGGGTCATGTGGCCAGCATGACTTAACTGCTTCTGGCACAACAGAACACCTGGCGGAAACCAGAGTGCATGGAAATGTCGTTTACCTTTCCGCCACAGCGGTACCTATTTATCTACTTGCACTGGCGTGCTTTCGAAGTGCTAGGTTTGCATCTCATGTTTGGCTGAGGATCAACAAGGTCTTCTGCACCTTCGGAGAATTTTAATCAAAGCCTCTTTCACATCTCTGTTCTTCAGACTGTATATAATTGGATTAAACAATGGAATGACAATGCTATAAAACAGAGAGATCATTTTGTCCTGACCAGGGGAGTGACTGGACTCAGGTCTCATGTACATAAATATGGCGCTGCCATAGAAAAGCACCACCACTGATACGTGAGAGACACACGTAGAGAATGCTTTGTGCTGTCCTTGGGCAGATTGGATTTTCAAGACGGAAGCCAGGATGCGGGTGTAAGTCATCAAGATAAAGGAGATGGGGATAAGCAAGGTGAAAATGCATCCCACCGAAGTGACCTTTTCAACCATCTTGGTATCGGCACAGGCCAACTTCAGCAATGCTGGCATTTCACAGAAAAAGTGATCAATCAGATTGGGACCACAGAATGGCAACCGCCAGGTGAGGACTGTGTGTGCCACTGGCAATAAAAGGCCACTCATCCAGGTTGCCACAGCCAGCTTCATGCATACTCTCTTGTTCATGAGGAACGTGTAGTGCAGTGGGTGGCATATTGCCACATACCTGTCATAGGCCATCACTGCCAGGAGGATGCACTCAGTCGTGGCCAGAACCAAGAAGACATACATCTGTACAGCACAGCCAACCAACGAGATGGTTTGTCTTGGGCTCTGTAGGTTCACCAACATCTGGGGGACTGTGCTGGATGTATAGCAGATGTCCACAAAGGCAAGGTGGCTCAGGAAGAAGTACATGGGCGTGTGGAGTCGGGGGTCCAGCCAGATGAGCATCAGTATCATTGAGTTGCCCACCAGAGTGATGGTGTAGGTCACAGAAAAAAGCCCAAACAGCAAAAGACGGATCTTCAAGCTCTTCGAGAGACCAAGCAGGAGGAATTCAGCCACAAATGTTTGGTTCCTCATAGCAGCTTCCTAGTCTCATTTCCTATACAAAAGAAGGAGATGAAACGTGTCACCTGGGCTTGTGTGTCTGAAGTGGAGAATATTACTCACTCTCAGTGCTACAAACATGAAATGGGTTGATATCTGAGATGACTCCTGTTCTGTCTTAGTTTGGATTAAATAAACTTACAAATATCATTTATCTCTACATGTTCCATTATCTTTTCCCCTTGATAGAGTTGGGACAGTTTCCCCCCCCCAGCAATGTTTCTTTGTGTGGGGTGGTGGCATCCTTGATGACTGGGAGTGGGCAAATTTCTTTCTGTGGAGAGTCTCACCATGGCAATAAGCATCTGTGTAGGCTTTTCTTAATCACATTTAAAAATGACAAGGAAACCCCACTTTTGTCTCGTCATCTCAGTTAAGCCAAACCCTCCCACCACCACCACTGCCCCACCAAAATATCAGACATCCACCCCCCTAGAAGCAGCTGAATATCTCACCACCGTCATTTACTGGGATAAATGGTCTCAAGAAGGGAGAAGATGCCTTTATAATCAACAGAAACTTCCTTACCCCTGAAGCAGAAGAAAATAAACCTATTAAGAATGTATGGGTAAGGATAATAATAATAATAATATATTAAGTATGCACTAGAGGTGTGGCTTACAACTAAAATCCATTTCACATGCCTCCTAAATAAACGCTTTGTTAAAATGTTTGGAGGGCAACACACACACAAATCCTGATTTCTGAGACACTGGTGTCCCCTTCCATTCCATTTGCTCTTCTAGCTTTCAAACCTTGATGGAGTTACCTTACCCTTCCACTCCTCCCACAGCCCCCCCTTGCTAGCATGGGACCCATAGCACACCCCTAATCCTCCCCTGTATGTATCTGATGCATTCTCAGTGAGCTGGTAAACTTGTGTTTGAGCTCTAGCATTTTAGACAGCAGGTGAGGGCTTGCATAACTGAACGCTCCTCTATAGTATTTATTTATTTTTTAGTAAATAAATTCCCACACAAATAAAACTTGCATGTCAGGGAGAAGTCTAGGCTAGAACCCCAACCTCTAGGGTGAGCTATTAATCACCCATTCTTATTTATCACTCCCCTTCTCCCCAGAATCTTCATTCATGTTAACTTCTGGAAATCTAAAAAAAGCGGAATATTTTGGTTCCTCCATACAGTCTAGTTTCTTTTAACAAGAAGGAGAAGGAGAAGGAGAAGGAGAAGGAGAAGAAGAAGAAGAAGAAGAAGAAGAAGAAGAAGAAGAAGAAGAAGAAGAAGAAGAAGAAGAAACAACGGCAATAATAATTCTATTGTTGTGCATACCCCAGTCTCTAGTCTCTGGGGGTTCCAGTACTTACCCAGAGTTCAGTTTCCTTAGAATGAAGGTAAGTGGGAACTGTGGGAACTTTAGGAAATATTGTTTTATTTACACATATATACAAGCTGGACATAAGACAGTGGGACTCACAGCATTCACACTTCAGTAGATCTTGATTCCCTATTAGGTTTCCAGGGACATCACTAAATCCATAGCTTTTCTTCTTCTGATTCTCCTGTATTTCAGTTTAATTGGATGACCTTTTTAAGAGGGAGGTGAAGCAGCACTTTCTTCTCTGACACCATGCATAAATTAATCTGTAGGTTTAGTAGCAATGGCTGCAAATTTGAACTACTTGAGAACCACTGCTCTTTCTGTATAGATAGAGAATTTATTATTGAAGTTTGTACTGTTTAGCCCTTCTCTGTATCCTTAGTTGTGGGTGCTATTGTGATATCTATTCAACTCTGAACACTCTAATACAGTGGACTAGAGACTCAGACACTGATCTGCAGTAATATGTTAATGAAATATGCCCTTTGGAGAAAGCGTTGAAGTACAAATAGCATTACCATTCCATATTGCTTCCGCTTTTGTCTCCTTTTGGATGCTGTCTCCTAATCAGAGTTATGGACATTGGGACATCTATTACCATGGAAGGATTTGGTCCAGAGATGTTCTTCATAGCAGAAGTTCCCATACTGTGGTCTTCAAGCTTCATTCAAGTGGTCTGTGAAGAACCATTTGAATTATATAAAAGTCCATGAATTCAGATTGTAATACAATAGAATGCAATGTAAGAAATAATACAATTAAATAGCATGCAGCATCTAGCACTGGTCTCATTGCAACTGCTTCAACCGGCAGAAAACAAAACCATCAAGATCCTCAGCAACTTTCAAATGGTCCGTGGAAGGGAGAGCATATGGGAACCACTGTTTTATAGGTTATTTCTACTTTCTATCAATGATTAATGTATGCGGGTGGGGGGGGAATATTTGGTATAAAGAGAGAGAACAAATATCTGGCATGCATCTTTTAGATAAAATATTACATCTTTCAGAAGAGTTACTGTTCAATTCTGTACTCAGAAGTAAGTCCCACTAAGTTCAAGGAAGTTCCTCTCAAACAGGGAAGTGAATATATGCTTGCAACCTAGCATGTATACATGAAAATACCTTTTGATCATGCTCTGTTAATATAGCTATTTGTCAATGCTTTTTTCGTGGGGGTGCGCATACCCCTAAACATTTTGTGAATCTAAGTTTGTCCTCATTGAGGGGCAGTATTTCAATATGAGTAGCAAAAAAATGAGAGTACCCCTAAACATTTTTTTGGGGGGGGAAGCCCTGGCTATTGTTATATAATAGCTATGTGTCTTTAGCACATAGATTTTGCTTATCTGTTGCCAGTTTTGGATTCTTTTATTGCTGCTTATTCAGTCTATAGTTAGTGATTTGAGTTGATTGTCACAATCACATGTTGGTTGAAAATCAGGACCTGTATGGTTTAGCAAATAAACAAATCACCGTTTTAGCAAACAAGCAGTGTTAAAACTCACTCATCTGTTGATTTTCAGCATTGTTGTAAGGACTATTCAGTCTTCCCTGCATACACAGTCTCTTACTCCCTTCAGAAAAATAAAGCATCACTAGATGTTACACTGCCCACTTTTAAATCTTTGTTGATCTGGGGAGGGGCCGAAGCTCAAGTGGGAGAAGACATGATTTGTGTACAGAAGGATCCAGGTTCTATTTCCACTTAAAAAGAACTCAATGAATACGCTGTTTCCAACTTGAACTCCCTTGACCATTGCAATGCTGGCTGGAGTGAATGGGAATTGTAATCTAAAGCATTTGGAAGACAAGTTGGGGAAAGCTTTTGCAGATAATATGGGGCTAGAATATATCTTTTGTGAAACATTTTATATTTCAATGAATTTTCTGCTGTCTAGTCTAGGTAGGTAGGAAGAGCTTAAAAGGTAAAGGTAAAGGGACCTCTGACCATTAGGTCCAGTCGTGGACGACTCTGGGGTTGCAGCACTCATCTCCCTCTATTGGCCGAGGGATCCAGCATACAGCTTCTGGGTCATGTGGCCAGCATGACTGAGCCGCTTCTGGTGAACCAGAGCAGCACACGGAAATGCCGTTTACCTTCCCACCAGAGTGGTACCTATTTATCTACTTGCACTTTGACGTGCTTTCGAACTGCTAGGTTGGCAGGAGCAGGGACCCAGCAACGGGAGCTCACCCCGTCACGGGGATTCGAACCACTGACTTTCTGATTGGCAAGTCCTAGGCTCTGTGGTTTAATCCACAGCACCACCCGTGTCCCATAGGAAGAGCTTAGCCCTTTACTAATAGATTCATTTAGCGTTCTCTACTGCTCTTTCCCTCTGGGTTGATTTTGAATGGAATATCAAGCAGTCTTTGAGCTATGGGAGAAAGGTAGAATCACAGAATTGTAGAATTGCAAGGGACTATGGGGGCCATCTAGTCCAACCCTCTGCAATGCAGGAATATTTGCCCAACATGGGGTTTGAACCCACGACTCTGAGATTATGAGTCTGCTGTCAGAACCACAGTTCAGTCCTGAGCTGCTGTATATACTGTTACAAAAGTGGGGTGCCTCCCGCACTCTCTGCCAAACGGTGGCAAGAATTCATGGGGTTCCAGACACTCACCCAGGGTCTGTGTTCCTCTGGTGAATTGAGACACAGCGGAGACTATCGTAGCTTTAAAAAATATGGCCCTCAATTGTTTCTTAATGGCCCTAGCTTGGCCAGGTCATTTTGAATAGCCTAATCCAGGAATTCCCCTACAGCTTATCTTTCCTCCTTCACACCCCAAATAATCAAAATCCTACTATTTATTAATTTCTAGGGTTTAGGGGGTCCCCCCAATCTATAACAATACTATTATTTTAATAATTGAGTGCCTGAGGATCCAGCTGTGGGAGTAAATCTCATTAAATTCAGTATACCTTATGTGCTGGTCCAGGGGGGGGGGTTACCGTGAGTCGTGGTCAAAGTCTGGTCCTGGGCCGAGGGTCTGGAGACTGTCCACCAAGGGGGAAGTGGGGTCCAAAGCAAGAAGCAGGGCGTGGTCGGGAACTCCGGAAAAACAGGTCTGGGTGCTGGCAGAAACAAGTTTCCAACGTTGTTGCTCCCACAACCTGGGACTGGGCTGACTGGCCTTTATCTCCTCTGAGGCCAGGGGCAGTCCTGGCCCACAGGTGACCCGCCTCTCCTGGCCTTAAGGCGAGCACTCCTCCTGAGAGAATTTAGTTCCCTCCGCCTCTCTGCCTCAGCCTCTGCAGCTCAGGAGAGGCTGGAGGGTTACTGGACCCAGGGGCAGCTTCACCTTCCACTGACAGGGCTGAGAGAGGCGCACCTGCAGGCAATGGGTCCTCCATGACCTCCGGAGCCAGAGTGGATTCATCTGGTGTCTGCTCCTGAGGACCCGGCACAGGTGCAGGCCCTTCAGATTCAAGCCCCTGCCCCGGCTCAGCCAGCCCTGGAGGCGGGGATTCCTGTGCAGGCTGGGACTCCTCAGATTCAGCTTCTGAATCAGATTCCCAGGCCATCACACCTTACCTCTGAATAGACACGTATAGGATTGCTCTGTTACTACAAGGTGCTACAACTGTATTGCAGTTTTCACCAGTAGCAAGCTGCCCAGTATATCCCACTGAGTTTAATTGAACTTAAAACATCTCAGGAACAAAATATGCAATCTTTGTGTTAATGAAAGTAAGTAGGCTCCACAAATCTTCCAACTTGGGAGATTCACTATTTGGAGTTTTGGGAGCTGGAAGCCAGCAATGACTCTTGCTCTTAAATCTACATTTCTTCCATGAGAGAAAAATGGTGGGCTTACCTGAGAGAGAATAAAGACTGCAAAGTGTTTCTAAGTCCCTCCTAGGAGAATGATGTCTTAAGTAGGGTGTTAAAGATATGTTTAATATGCATAAAATGTAATGTTTGTGTGTGTTGTGCTTGAAAAGATTTTGCAAAGAGAAGGTTGCATTAGACATGGATGTTTCGCGCTGACAAATGCGGCAGGAGAGGTTGAATGTTTCCATCTCAGTCTTTAGGCTAATTGATGAGTCATCCCGGAAACCCAAGCTGCAGATCTGTCACAGCAGAAAGTGTTGTCCTGAGTTGCGGACACATATACATTATGATTGGGAGAAGGTGTGCGTAAATGACAAGGTCAGAAAGAGATGAAAGGTACACTGTCTCGCTAACTATTCACAAAACCAAAAACTAATAACACAGACATCCTGGCATTACTAAGACAATTAAAGTGTAGTATGATAAAAATAAAATAAAAGTGATGTGTCAACTGCAGAGTTGGTACATATAAGCACATGTGGTGGGGCTGCTCAAAGGTGACTAAATTTTGGAATAAGTTGTTCACTGGTATCACTTTGATAACTAAACATACTGTGACTCCACTTTTCCACCTGGTTCTTTTGAATCTGTATATGGAAGCAGAAGAGGACGTGAAAAGCAAATAATTTAACTCGCATCATTTAACAACAGCCCAGGACTCCATTGCCAAATCCTGGAAGACCTGTGATCTTAACAATTTGGATTGCTAGTACTGCAGGCTTTGGCAAATTGCCCTCCTTGAAAAGATTTCTCATAAACTAAAAGCATCTAATGAACAGTGACTGAGTAATTCCCCCCCCCCCCAATATGGCATAATTTTATTTGTTAAATGAATATTGAGGTGCACAGTCATTCAGTGTCACCAGCATATGCTAACATCTGACAAATTTAAGACTTTATAGAACCTTTATTCCCAATAGTGATGGAACTCACAGGTGGATAATACTTTTGTTTTTATATATCTTTATGATTTCTAAAGGGAATTTTTGTATGAGTTAATACTTTACCATCCCTTTGAAGCTATGCTGTATCTTTGTACTTTTGTCTTTCCAGGGTGTGACATGTTTATTATTATTATTATTATTATTATTATTATTATTATTATTATTTGTTTCCCCCCCCTTTTAGCTAGGTTTAAACAAATTCACTAAAATCTTGATTATTATTTTTTTAATGTTGCAGTGCAGTCCAGAGAGATAAAATGAAACCTCTTGATGCAAGATTTTCTTTAATTGCTTGACAACCGTAGCAGAAATAACATTATGGCAAAGTACATCTACTTTTGTAGCAACTTATATTTGTTACAATAGCATACAACAGCATGAACTTAAAAAAAGTAGCCCACTCTGGAATCAATTTCTCAATCAACAAAGCTTGTGCTGTGACAGAATTTTGACCAAAGCCCCTTTCATGTCTTTGTTCCTCAGGCTGTATATCATGGGATTGAACATGGGGGTGAATATGCTATAGAAGAGAGAGACTATTTTGTCCAAATCTGCGGAGTGACTAGACTCTGGCCTCATGTACATAAATATGGCGCTGCCATAGAAAAGCACCACCACTGATATGTGAGAGACACAAGTAGAGAATGCTTTGTGCTGGCCTTGGGCAGATTGGATTTTCAAGACGGATGCCAGGATGCGGATGTAAGCCATCAAGATAAAGGAGATGGGGATAAGCAAGGTGAAAATGCATCCCACCGAAGTGACCTTTTCAACCATCTTGGTATCGGCACAGGCCAACTTCAGCAATGCTGGCATTTCACAGAAAAAGTGATCAACCAGATTGGGACCACAGAATGGCAACCGCCAGGTGAGGACTGTGTGTGCCACTGGCAATAAAAGGCCACTCATCCAGGTTGCCACGGCTAGCTTCATGCATACTCTCTTTTTCATGAGGAACGTGTAGTGCAGTGGGTGGCATATTGCCACATACCTGTCATATGCCATCACTGCCAGGAGGATGCACTCAGTAATAGCCAGGGTCAGAAAAATGTGCATCTGAACGGCACAGCCAACCAACGAGATGGTTTGTCTTGGGCTCTGTAGGTTCACCAACATTTGGGGGACTGTGCTGGATGTATAGCAGATGTCCACAAAGGCAAGGTGGCTCAGGAAGAAGTACATGGGCGTGTGGAGTCGGGGGTCCAGCCAGATGAGCATCAGTATCATTGAGTTGCCCACCAGAGTGATGGTGTAGGTCACAGAAAAAAGCCCAAACAACAAAAGACGGCTCTTCAGGCTCTTCGAGAGACCAAGCAGGAGGAATTCAGCCACAAATGTTTGGTTCCTCATAGCAGCTTCCTAGTCTCATTTCCTATACAAAAGAAGGAGATGAAACCTGTCACCTGGGCTTGTGTGTCTGAAGTGGAGAATACTACTCACTCTCACTGCTACAAACATGAAATGGGTTAATATCTGAGATGATTCCTGTTCTGTCTTAGTTTGGATTAAATAAATTTACAAAATATCATTTATTTCTACATGTACCATTATCTTTTCCCCTTAATAATAGAGTTGGGACAGTCGTCCCCCCCCCCCAGCAATTTTTCTTTTTTGGGGGGTGGGTGTCCCTGATCATTGGGATTGGGCAAATTTCTTTCTGGCCTGTGGAGAGCTTCACCATGGCAATAAGCATCTAGGTACGCGGGTGGCACTGTGGGTTAAATCACAGAGCCTAGGACTTGCTGATCAGAAGGTCGGCGGTTCAAATCTCCACGACGGGATGAGCTCCCATTGTTCTGTCCCTGCTCCTGCCAGCCTAGCAGTTCGAAAGCACAAAGTGCAAGTAGATAAATAGGTACCGCTCCAGCGGGAAGGTAAACGGCGTTTCCGTGCACTGCTCTGGTTCGCGAGAAGCGGCTTAGTCATGCTGGCCACATGACTCGGAAGCTGTACGCCAGCTCCCTCGGCCAATAAAGCGAGATGAGTGCTGCAACCCCAGAGTCGGTCACGACTGGACGTAATGGTCAGGGGTCCCTTTACCTTTACCTAGGCTTTTCTTAATCACATCTAAAAATGAGAAGGATTTCTCATGATGCCCTTACAGTCTCATTTCTGAACAAAAAGAATAGCATGATGCTTGCATTTAAATGAAGGGAATGAAAAGTATTGGTCATACTTATCATCAATAGACAATAGGCCTCCCCCATGGGTGCATGAACATGTTAAGGAGGTGGTAGAGTCATACCTTTAACCCTGCGTGAGATGCTGTATGTCTGGTCTTGGAGCTTGATGCATCAGGTGAAGTGTCTGCAGAAGGGAGCCTACATGGGTAGAATTAGCTCCATGCTATTTGGAGCGCTGCATTATCAGAGTTCCCAACTGCATGGAAGATACACACATAGGCTTCCCTTTGCATACATCATTCTGAACATATGGGGCAAGTGGAACATGTTAGTTCAGGGATGGCACCAGCAGGCACTTCTTCACTTCTTCCAGCACATGTAATAATGCAAATGCAGAGGAGATCATCCAATGAAGAGGGATCATACCTGTAAGAGATCTTTTACTCTATTGTAAACATACACAAGGTATAGGATGCAGTACAAGTTGCAATACCCAAGGAGGATTGGCTTGTTCACCTGTAATGACAAAAATATAATCCACTGTTATCACTGTTTACACCTAGTGCTTTCAAGAGCAGGTGATGCTGGAAATTAATTTGAACTGGGCTTCAAAGCAATGCAACCCCATATCCTGG